AAAGTAAAGAGGCAACAAGGGCGGTGGGCTACGGGCCCAAGCATTACTTTGGAACAACCGAGATTAGTCCGAAAGTCCCCGCACCTGGCAGATGGCGCACAGCCCGGACATGTTCCTGGCATCCATGCTGGCCTCGCTGGGCGCTGGGAGTCCCACGGGGTCTGGGCCTATGTGTACTTCTGCATTGGGCGCAATGCGGCAGTTGTTAGGTTCTGTAGGTACCAGTCAGTGCGTTAATGGTGTTGCAGTCAGCTTCTCAATTAGCATTCGTGTGCGTATGTAGCTGCCGTGTCATGTGAGCAAAGGGAAAACCTGCCACAGGCGCCCGATCACGCCCAGCACAGACGTGGGAGGCCAGCATAGCTTGGGCTCGGGCTGAGTTTGAGTTTCAGTTCGCACGGGATGAAATCCCAACCAACATTCCGATTGTTCAGCCTGATACGGAGCGTTTAGCCGTCGCGCCAGGAACCGCAGGATATCTGCGCGACCGTGAGGGGCCGCTGGTGTTGCGACCCATTTTCTGCAGGCCAAGGGCTTTCCAAAGTATTTTCAAGGGACATCAAGCTTCCAGCATCCTCAAAGCTGATCCCTATGCTTGGCCCTCAAACATGAATTATCGCCTCCAGCATGCACGGTCACCTTTCGTTTGTAGACTTCTTTCCTGCCGCGCAGTGTATGCAACAGAGCTGGTTTGAGCCTATACTTTGTAGAGTGCACTCCAGAAACTTCAACTTCCAAGGCTTCCCCTGCCTTTGAGATAAGAGGTTCCTCTTGGCCTCGAAACTTTGTGGGAGCCGCGACTCTCCCCACCGTTATCAAGATTGCCAAGGCCCTAGCAACAAGGAATTGCAAAGAGCACCATGGCTTGCAGCACATGTTGTCGATCCGTTGATGGAAGGGAACAGCGTGACAGGACCAACTGTCCCAGAAGAGTTTTCCAGAGCAAGCCTAAAAGGGCTTTCGATAGAATCAGCATTTTCAATGTGGCCACATTTGATGTCCTGGGCCTCCCAGCTTTCCCTGAATCGAGGCTTGCAGCTGACTTTCCTGTGCAGCAATAAGGAGCCAGTAGCTGCAGAGCCCCAAAGGATTTCAGGATTACCTGTCATGCCATTGATTGATCTGAGGTGTCGCTGCATTTGACGCGCATGCAACTCGGTACGAGGCTGGCAGACAACGCTTCTATCAGACATGCTAGGCATGATTTGCATGAAAGATCGGTCTACAGCAGACCTTCAGGTCAACTCATGTCAGCCACATTCGCTTCCCAAACATAGAAGTCCCAAGAGCGGCATTGCTGTTCTGCAGCCCGGCGCTTGTGACCTACATTCCTGGTGCCAGGCTTTCTTCGGAATGCCTCGGAACCTTCTTCTTCGTGTACTCTCAGGCCAGCCGCTTCAGTTTGCCCATTCGATGAGTGTTCTATCACCCTCATTCAACCTTTACTTACGCATGAATCGAACGTGACGATTTCAGAGGTAGGGTTTGACAGCTCTGGGCGCCTTTGGAAATGAAAATCATTCGTGAGACCGTCTCGCGTGGTGCCTGCACCCTGTCAACTGGGCAAGCTGGAGAGCAATGCTGCGACGTGAAGTCATCGGTGGATCCCTCTCTGGGCGCCTTATTGTCTGCGAGTTGGCACCTCTACATGTTCGAACTTCCTGAATATTGACTCGCTCCCTCATGCCTGGTTCCGACTTCTGCCTATTGCTTGTGTTCTTGAGGAAGGTAGCTGCGCATCTTTGAAGAACAAGGTCTCCCTTGACCGCCATAACAACTCTTTTCCTAAAGACACAAAGGGAACGTCGTCAATGTTGGGCCTGCTTTGCCAGGCATAGTGCTGCCGCCGGGCTGTGAAGCTTCGCTGCCGCCTGGTTTCATAAGCGGGACGGATTTACAGAGGTTTTTTTAATCGCTAATTAAGCACGGGATAGTAGGGGTTTTAGTGCAACGGGAATTTGAAGAAGTGGCCGCTCAGTGCCAATCTGCACCGACTGCCACCCTGCGGTGTGTCAAGCCATGTCGAGCCTTAACAATCAACGTCGTAGAGGTTTGTGCCACGGTGGGCACGAGGGAGAGACGATGAAGTGAGAAGCTTGCAACTGGCAGATGAGGACAGCGGATGAGCAGATCCTGAAAGCGGGTGGTGGGATGTTAGCGCATGCGCGGAGACTTCATGAGCAGATCCTGAAAACGGGTGGTGGGATGTTAGCGCATGTGCGGAGACTTCAAAAAGTAACGTAGGAGTCGGGATTGCGGCGCCATATCTGTGAGGTCAAGATTCCAGATGAAGAGTCTGCATGCATTCAAACATGCTCAGGATGGCTTCTGCGTTCAGCGACAAAGTTGTTCGGCAGCTTCCGCCGCAGGCCAAACAGAGCATGTTAAAGCAGGGGCCTTCTCCTCACACAGGTTATTGCGCGATGAAGAGAGAACTGGCGAGATTGAATGCCTGCGCATTCGGTTCAGTCAGAATACGTCTGCCATGCAACACTAGAAGGGGGGATGTGTTCGCCGTAATCGGGACACAATCCGATGAAGCTTAGAATGCTTTCGATGCGGGATCCTGGAGCAAGGATTTGTTCCCCGCTCTTGCTTCCAGGGCATTGATTTGGTATGATTTGGTGCAGGTGCGGCGTTTCTTAGATCATCACCTCCGCACTGCCACAGCGCACTGCGAGGCCAGAAAAGTGGTGATATCAATTGGGACATGGTAATGCCATTTCCCACGGAATTTTAGGGAGAATCATGCACGAATTGAGCTGACCCCTCTGGACAGGAGTACCATCCTTTGAAATGGAATGCCAGAATAGCTCAACATGCAAATTTCCGTATCCGGGGCACGGCTTCCCGACTCGCTGGTCTAACCGCTTGCCTAGACAACTGCACAGGCTCAAAGATACCGTCCCAATCCTAGCGAACAAGACGGTGATGTGGGCTCCAACTTACTACGGTGTCAGTGCTTGATACAGGCCCGGCGGAGGGCCCTGGACGAGTCCATCTCCCGGCTACCCTTCGTCGAAAGCCTACTGTGCCTTGGCAGATTGAGGCCGCTTAGCCAGGCCAAGCGGCCAAACGCGGAGCTGTGAATGTTTAACGAGCATGGGAGATGAGACGCGATATACTCTCCCCAAGCTAACTCGTCATTGCTCATCATGAACTACAGGATTTGTGCATGAGGATCCTTACCGTCAGTAGCAATGCAACACGATGCATAACTGTACGGCAGGCAACTCCGTGCTCGTAGCTTCCAAGACGTTACATTTTCCATTCTTTGCCCTCCCTGCACAGCCCTCGCTGTGCCCTGCCGCCTCAGGTGGATTGACCCCGCCACCCTGCCGAAGGCATGCAAAAGTAGCTGCTGCTCTCCCGTATCCCAGCATATATGAAAGATCCAGAACGTCGTGGGTCTACAAAGAACAGCTTAAGCAGGACAGCCATCTCGCCAACATGTTTCCGGTTGTTAGAGCTCGTTGGGAAAGTGCCTGTGTTTTGGAAATTGAATCTAACCAAAGATGTTTCAGAAGCAGCTCTCTGGGTGAACTTGTCACTCTTTGTGCAAGCCATCCGTGTTCTGTGCAGTCAGACTCCCAAAAGGCCAGAAGTGAGCAAACAAGAAAGCAACGAATTTGGACGAATGTGTATGTACTGGGTGCGCTCATATGTGTTCGATTGCTTGTGGGGTTTGCTTGTTCACGGTCCGCCACCTACCCAGACGCAGGAAGACCACTGAGTTCATCGGAAAAACAAAAGCCACGTCGCATGTTTTGTGTTGTTCCTCGTGCCTGGGGGCAGCTCAGTGCTTTCCCTATGGGAAGAAAGTCAAAAGCCACATGTTGTTCTTTGGCATGTGTTTTCTGAATGCTCCTTGGTCGCCTACTCATTGTCGGTGCTACGCTTTAAAAGCAGCATGCTGCCAGCGAAGGGTCTTCCCAAAGTTCTCCTCGTCGCCACTCGTCAATTTGTGTCTAGAACATGCCGGTCTTCACATCCGATTCTCACATGATAAGTAGCCGTCACCAAACGCAACAGGCGCTGCTGTGTTCCTGAAGCAGGATTATGTATGTGAACATGGCTTGCTGGGCGATTTCACAGGTCATCTTTCTAAACATGATGTTTCCTGAAGAAGTACTTCCGGAATTGCTTGTCATAACTCAATAAAACCCAGTACCTATTGTTTCGCAATTGCTGTGCAACTGGGCTTTCAGGTGGAGGAAGAGGACGAAAAGGATAAAGATAGGGAGAAGGACACCCTGCGGGCTGCTGTGTTCTGCTTTATTGGCATAGTGCTGTGTTTTTTTGCCATGCTCGAGACATTTGATGGTAAGCAGTCGCGCAAAAAGAGCCATGCAAGCGCAATAAATGGGTACAAGGCCACAGCTTGGGTCAGCCTGTACCACTAGCTTCCAGATGCTTCCTGACCACAACACCTTCCTTGTGTTGAAATTTCTTGCATAGCACTGCAACGCACCTGCAGCAGATTTCAGTAGATTCATTTTAGACAAAGCCAATACTGACCCTCTCCGCAACGCGCTAGGACAGGGAAAAGGAAAAGGAGCCGCCAGAAAAGCCGAAGAGCAGACGGGTCCGGGAATCAGAGGTCAGGTCTATTACAGAAGTGCTGCTGCTGTGTTGGGTGCAAATGGTTGCAGCATGGCATCTAAAGTCGGACATGAGGTCCAGGTTCCTGTAGTGGCTATACATGATAAGTGCCAGATGAGGCAGAGCGATCCCGGCAATCAGAGAAGAAGCTGGAGGCGACGGGACGTGATCTTCAGGCAGATGATGTAGAATCCGGAATTTGGTTGTATTCTGCGGGGGCAGGGGTCCGCATTCTCAAAGCAATCAATACTAAAAAGCTCAGGTGGTTTGGGCAGCCTGAAGACTTAGACAACCCAAGTGCTACTCTCCCAATATCTCCCAATAGTTTCTTTGAAAACAACCTGGTGGAATGACAGCTCGAGGTGAACATCGAGCTCCCAGAAGAGACGACACCGGTCATGAAGGACACCTCTTGTTTCGTACGGCCATTCAAGAAGTATGGAAAGTCCTACAGCCACACATATTCGCGCATGTTCTGCCTAGATGTGGGTCGCGGATCCATTGAGCATGTGAGACGTGCTTTGACTCATTGTGGCGTGGCATGCGCTGTGTCCATGGAGGTTGAGTTTGATTCCATAGTTTTCCATTTCCTGAACCACATGGCTCTTGCCCTCTAGTTGTTTGAAAGTTGTTGCCACTTCCATTACAAGAATCTCTGCGAAGGCACCTGAGGCGACGCTACGGCTTCCACCACAGGGCATGTGGCCACCACTGCCCCCTCGCTACGTTATCTCGGAGAGGCACATTTTATTTTATGGCTGGTAGAGTCCAAAGTCCTTGCAAGTCGAGGGCTCTCTCACTCTGCCATGACTTGCTGCCTGTCATGCTTCTGTCAGGCAGCTTCACTCTGCAAACTGTGTTTCTTGGGTGGAAGAGATAAATCACTCGATCCATTTGTGACTGAAGGCATTGACTTTGCATAGACTCAGACTCGTTCTGGCAGGGGTCTACAGCAGTGGAAAGAAGGAATACGCCAGTGGGAGGAAGAGGTCAATCAGCAAAGTCTCTCTGACACGTTTGTAAATTCTGATGATCTGCAAGGTAGACAGGTAGTCTACACCGTGAGGAATCACTGGTGCAGAGGGTTTGGCCTGTGCGTGAGATGTTCAAAGAGCAGCGAAGACGCAGAAGATTTGCTGATGGCTTGGCATGTAAAATGAGCTAGGCTCATCTCAGCTCCGGGCTTTGCCATAGCCCTGGCCTCCAGAGTTGTTTTTGTTCGGATGAACTGATCTCGCATGTTGACGCTGGATTGACTGGGGTTCCAGATTTCGGGACACGATAATGCCCTGCTGAGGTATGAAAACACTGCACGTGTCGTACTCGGCGAGCTGCTGTCGAGCCAGCTCCTGGAGCCTGAGGTTGGGGGTGCCCGAAGAGCGCTGTTTTCAGCCTGGGCAAATGTCATGATTTTTTGTTTTCAAAGATACCTTCCTTTGCAACACAAGCCATTCCGGGTCCCTGGCAACTGGTCAGAAGAAGTCATTGGTCTGCAGGTGCTGCACTTTGCAAGCCGCTTCTTGCGGGATGCTCAAAGCATGTCACAGAGATGCCTCTCAATTTTGTTGTTTGAGAAGCTGGTTGGGCTTCAAGGCCTTGAATACTGACTTCAAGCTACCAATGCTCCCTCATGCTGATAATTTTGAAGATGGAATGATGTTTGTCTTTGCAGCAAGATCGCTACCGAGGCCGCTGTTTTCGCGCATATTCGACGAGTATGCTGATGAGCACATGGTGGCGTGCTCAGGGATGCCATTCTGAGATTCGTTCGGTTCGTTCCCAGGATGAAGTTCAGGCGGACAAGACAAGCGTGCTAAATGGGCTATACAGCGAACTCGTTAATCTGTGTGAGAGCCTCTAAGCAGCCTTTTGCCAAGGCAGACTATCAGCCATCTGATCCGTCCGGCTCGGCCTCCTCGTCTTCTGAGTGCGCCCGGATGCCCAGGTGGATTGCAAGGACCTCCCTCTGACGAATTGATCAAAGACAGTCGACCCCTCTTCTCGGCTACGAAGCCATTTTGGTCTGAAGGGTTGCGGATCAGCTTCGGCCTTTGAGACTTGGGCACTGAGGTGTTGGTCAGGTTGAACAGCAGCTACCGCATAAGTCTATTCCCACAACTGCGATGTTTGCTAGACGTCGTGCCTATCATTTTCACTGGGCAACTTGGCAGCTTCAGCATAGATGCACGACCATTGTTCCCGCCACTGTGCCAATTAAATTACGCCCGCCAGTCCGCTTGGGGCCGCAGAATTCCTAAGCTCAGTTAGCATCATACAAGTAGCCCCCTCTAGCTGCATGTATCTGCATAGCTACGATGCTGAAAAGTTGGGTGAGAAGCGGGCAGCTTCGCCTCTTGGCAGTTTGCCTTCACAGCGTTCGTGTTGTCATCGCTGCAGTGCTCAACCGTTCGCTTGCCTCCAAGGGTTCAGACGCTCCGCTGCCGGCGGAACCTACCACAGGCTCGCAGTGGCAGGATAGATCCTTGAGCTCATGATAGTGACTTTGTCAGTTTCCGAGTTTGGCTACAGGTTCGTTTCATTTTGTTTCCATGCGCGTTTTCGTACCTTGAAGGATGTAGCAATGTAGGTGGAACCCACGCTTTTTTGTTTTCTACGGACATGTTTGCCGGTCTGCGACACAGTCACCCAAATCATAATGTCATTATGAGCATAGCCAGAACAGAGTGCGAATGCTTGCGCGGCACCTTTCTCCTCTATGAAGATGAGCTTACTTCAATGCATCGGAAGAAGTGTCACATCAGAAGTGTAGATTGTCCTTCTTGATAAAGGCAATCAGCGTGAAGCGGCCTTGATTCCTTGCAGGCGGTCAACCTGTGGTACACCTCCGGCGCAACCTTGTCCTACCAATGCGGCTGGTCTGATCTTAGGTGTGGAGCAGCGCTACTGAAAGTGACAGATAAAGCTGGCAAAGTATTCGACGTAATACAATGCATTCGTCTCCGAAGCCTTGCATACGCCTAGTGCTGTGTCCGTGTGATGCAAGCCGAGGCGAAATGTGGCCAATGCTGCTGGGGGCTCGGCTGATGGGTGTTGTGCGCACTAGACTGACCCTCAAACACGCGGCCTTGTTCAAGCGCGCTACGGCGTGGCGAGGCCGTACAGGCGCACCGGTCCTGGGAAGAGAAACTGCCGCCTCCAAAATACTTGAAGCTGCGGGTGCTGCCGGCTCGTATGAGTGGGATGTTCTCGTTTAGGAGACCATCCGACAGTCCTCAGCGCAAATAGAACGTTCGCTCTTGATGCTACGGTCTGTGGACCCTCTGTTAGTTGTAGATCTGTTGATCCTGCGTTTGAGACACCCTGAAAGTTTGCACTCTGCCGAGCCCAGGGGTTGCACGAGACTCTTGCTGAAGGAATCTCTCGATCCCATGCCAGGAAGGACCTCCGGACCCGAGCTCAGCGATCTTCCTAGGCTTCTGGTGTTCGAAAAGGCTGAGTAGGCACCAGCCATGGGTTTAGAGTTTACGTAGAGGCTCCAGCTTGGGATGCTCTGAGCTCTTACGGACTTCGGATGGTGTTTGGCTGCCCAGTGCACATTACCAGTCAGCAAGATTGGGGAGGACAAACAAACATTATCAGCATTGTTGCGCCCTGCCCGTTGAAACTGATTCTTCAATGACGATGATGCCACTGAGGACATGATGTCCTTCCACGCCTTTTTCTCATTCTGCGTGGAATTCGATCTCTTCCCAAGCCATGCGCCGGCCCGACGTGCTTTGCAAAGGTTCGGTTGCATTTGCAGGGCTGCAAGCAAATCTGGCCAGGTCATACGACGAGCTTCGGCAGATCTATGACTCAGCAGAAACCGCGCAGGAGACATGAAGTTGCTCTAGCTAGACAGGTGATTCCATTAGATTCTAGTAGAAGTGAAGACTCTGCTTGGCTTCTTTGAGTTGGGTCCCGGCTTCTGCTGCGAGGTGGACACAGTGAGCACAGTCATGCAGACATCTGGGCGCGATTTGTGTTGCGGAGGAGCTTGTGGTGCCCGAGCTGCAGGTGCATGTGGTGGGTCCCAAACAAGCTGCTGGCCCCATTGCAAATGCACTTGCACTCCTCGATACCACATGAGCCAAGATCCGGTATGTGTCAGTTTACATGACAGCCAACTTGCTGCCAGATTCCGCGGAGGAGAGTGACAAAGGAGGCAGCTTGCCTGGGAGAGAACTGTTGAAATTGTACTTCACAGGGCTTGTTGCATCTTGTTGAGAGGAGCTCTCTTTGTTGCCCAGGCATCCGCCGCAGCTGCTGCACTTCTTCCACAGGCTTTGCCAGTGCTTTGCCATCTTCCCTTGCTGTTCGTTGAACAGTCTCGGAGGAAGATCCTCTGGGCATGCAGGATCTGACAAGCACACTTGCAAAAGACGGACGCTGCCAATCATAGCGAGAAATGGGATGTTTCAGAATCCATGCCAGTGTTGTCACCTCTGTTGGCACCCAACACAAGAAAGTCCATGCAGGTGGAGCTGGGCTTCTTGGACAAGCCGCTGCACGAGATGTCGGATCTCGAGCAGCTTTGCCGCCAGTGGCTTGCGGATTTGCACGTTCAAACGGCCAGCTCAACGCATGCCCCGACCTCCAAGCTTCTGTGGTCAACACCTGACCAAATTTATTGGTTTGATTCTCGCAGCATGCATCTGTAGACTTGTAGGCCTGGCAATCGTAAGAGAAGGCATGGCGGCGCTGAAAACATGGTGACGTCACCTCATCGCTTCTGCCATCAAAGCTTAAGGCGGCAAGTTGCCTTCTTCTTCGCTGCCCTGGAAGACTGGCCAGGGGCACAGGACAAATATGCGCAAGACTTTGATCAAGATGAACCAAAGAGATGGGCCACAGAACACCAGACACCTTACCAGTTTCACTCCTAGAGGCTGGCCAGCCGTTTCATGCGCTTGGCAGAGCTCGTCGTCCAGCGGATGCCCTTCTGCCTTGAGGAGTTAGAGGACCCTGGCAATGACAGGAAGCTTCTCGGGCTCAAACCCAGAATTGGTCCGCCAAGACCTGCCTGTACTCAAGTTTAGGAAGCAGAAAGGGGAAAACTCCGTCAGGACATCTTCCCAATCAGCTCAGAAGCTCATCTATGATCCCTTACGGCACACAAACAAAATTCTCCAGGCTACTCGTAGAAGCTAACGTCCTAATTCTAACAAACATTACTGATCATCCTGCAACTCGTTTCATACGCAGCTTGATCCCCATACGACAGTACTTGTGACTTTGCAGGATGTGCGGCTGCCGCCCTCACCAATGCGGCAGACTCGTCGAATGCGGAGCTTCAAGGCCACGGCATGGGAGACGCGGGCGCATGAATCTTTGGCGTCAAACTGGTTCGTGAAGGTCAACAAGGGGTCCGAATGTATCTTCAGCCATATGTAGCCTAATTCTCAATATGTCGCTACAGGTCACAGAGAAAGAAGATCCATCTCCGTCGCCATCTACGCCCCAGGCATGTGGCGGCACTCTTTCAGCCCCCGAAATGTTCTTGTTGCCTGCAGGGCAGGCAGAGCATGGACAGGCTTAGGACAGGAACATCCCTCATGGCTCACCAAGAGAGCAAGAATTCAGTTTGCCCAAATGTCCGTCCTGTCGCCAGGGCAGCCAGGCCGAGCCCCGAAATGAAGCACCAAAGAAGCGCAAAGAGCCTGCACCTTTCAAGGCTATGTAAGCTTCATGCTCGTGAGAGACATGAAAACATTACTTTGTATGCACAATGATATGTGGATGTATATATATATGTGCATATCCATATGAATATATATATATACATATATGGCAGCATGAATGCACATATGTGCGTGCATGGCAGACAGTTGTAGTAAAGAATTTGGGGCGGCAAGAAGTAGTGCTACTCGGGGCTTCAACTTCCTAGTTCGGATGCGCTTGACTAGCCAGTCAGCCAGGAATCAACCAACCCTAGGCAAGCAATCAATTGATGGGTCTAGGCTGCGGTTGGCAATGCAGGATTACGCTTTAGGGTTTGAGCACTCCGGCACTCCCGCGTGAGTAGGCTACGCACAGAAACCTTGGAGTTGCCCCTTACCATCCTTTGAAGTCTGCAGGAGGGCCGAAAAAACTCTTCGGGCAATGCAAGGCCCGGCGGGGTGACGTCCCTTGGCGAAACCGAGGAATTGGGAGCATTTGCCAAGACCTGGAAGGCAACACTAGGCTGCACTTGCTGATGTCGAACCCTCCACGATGCGTCCAGTTGAAGTGAAACAGAAACAGTGTGACCAGTGTCGGAGTTGAGACTTGAAAGAGCCTGTAGAGCAGTGGTATGGGAAGCATGCTTATATGTAAAATGTATAAACTAAGATGCCGCGAACGCTGAGACAAAAAGCTACTGTAGCTAATTTGTTGCATTCTTGACATCCGTGAGGGTCGCTCAGGTAGGTGGCAGAATCAGGGTCCCCATGCTATGGCTTGGATGGCGCCGAACAAGGGCAGCATGCGCGCGCAAACTTATCCGCTGATTCCCAGGCAGCTGCCGCCTTCCCTTACTTTAAGCAGCCTTACTGCAGTTGGAAATCTAGTTTTGTCCAGCAACGCTTTGCAAGTAGCTCAGCTTCTATGTTGTTGAAAAGTCCTGGCACCGAAGCTGTGTCACAGTGTGGGGTCAGCAGCAACCTCAGGTGCAAGCGAGTTGCTGGAGAAGCCTGGCAGCAGGAACTAAGCCCATGACGAGATACGAGTCGTTGACAAGTCCCGGCCAGCAGACCAGGGGGAAGATGAAGCATCAAAATGAGCCAGACATTTTTCAAAATTTATTCTGCGGCCACTGAAGAAACATTGCTTCGAAACAAGGATTGCCTCGCCACCCGGGCAGCGGTTGTTGACTTCGGAGCAGCTGCTGGGCAGAAAGTAGACACACCTCAAGCTGAAATGATGGTACGTGATCATGATGATGATAATGACAGAAGTGGCAGCCGATGCAGTAGAACGAACAGTAATGGCCGCCGCTGTGTTGTCGTTGTAACCATCATCCTCGTAGTTGGCACCTCCACAGCAGAAGCATTGACAAAATTCCAGACTCTGACAGCTTCTGAACAAGAACGTCCTAATTCTCAGGACAAGCAGTCTCAAACCATGACACGGCTGACTTTGGAACTGAGCGATTTCTGGCTTGGGGTTATGGGGTTAGGGTTTTGGATGCCTTGGTGACATGGAGGCTACCTTTATGCTGTTGATCCTCATGATGCGTTTCATTTCGTATTACGATCGTGGCACCACTCCAGCCCGTCGTCTTGGGGCCGGTTGCATAGATTGACCGGTGAGCCCTTGCAGCACACGCAGGGCAGCCAAGCTAACATCAAGGAAAACGTAAGCTGCCGGTCGCGCGGGGAGGCAATCCAAGGGCCTGTCTAGTCCAATCAAGAGGGTTCGTATACGAGCTGTTCAGCGGTGAACAGGGAGAAAACAGTGACCATACAGGTCCCCGTTTGAGTTCAACAGCGTTTCGATGTCACATTCTATGTAACAACTAGAACAAGGCTCGTGCTGATGAACATGACGTAGCATGCCGTAAGTATCCCGGGATGATGGGCGGGTGATGTTGGTAATGATACAGTTTAGAATATTACTTGTACAGGAACCTTTTGATTAGTTCACCTACTTTGCCCCAAATCCTGTGAAAGCTTTCATACAAGTTGCGACATTCATCCAAAGATGCCTTCAACTGCACAACTGTAGATATTGCCGGTGAATTGGCTGCACACTACCAGCACGCATGCCCAGCCAGATTACTCCCGGGAGCATGCATGCTGCCAGTGCATCCGTTCTGCCCGAAGGTGTCGTCCCAGAGCACACCTGCTCAGCCAGACCATTACATCCATGGTATGAAAAGCTCCATGTACCCACAGCCAGCGTATTGCTATCATGCAACCCGGGAATTTGGGCTCCCGCGGCAAGTTTGCATAGCGCTGATGCAGGCATGTGCTCTATCAAGGCAGGTTCCTGTGCGAGGTTCAGTTCTGTTGGTCTCCAGCGGTTTACTACCAGACCTCTTTGCGGTCTCGATCAGAAGCTTCATTTTCCGTGCTTGCTTTCCAATTCAGGCATTCTTGCTGACCGATGCTTTGTTGAGGAAAGTCCGATTCATCCGTTTTGGTTTCTTTCCGATTCAAATGATTCAGCCGTTTGGGTTTTGCTTTCGCCCGTTTTGATTGGCAATTTTTGTGTTGACACCACGATGGAGGAGAACACAAACAACTCTCCTTCTCATGATCATGCATGTTGAACACATGACTACGACAGCCAAGCAACACTGCTTGCCGATTTGGATGTCAACCTGCACAACGTCTGGTGCAGGAACTTGCGACGGTACTCTCAGCAAGTTGCTGCAGCTGTAGCTCTTCAGAGACCGCCGGGCATAATATGGCAGAATAAAAGAATACTACCTGCTGTATTTCTGCCAAAAGGAATCATGTCCTGGATTCTGAAGCCCGACAAAATGGTGCCCATTTGCTGAAGCACCCCCTGGGCAGCCGAGGCTCGAACGGTGCTTTGCCATGCTGTTGCCCTCGGCCCCGAAGACTTCGCCAGTGGAGATCACGGCATTTTGGCACCCGTTTTCGAGCTTATCGTGTCAAAGAGTGAACGCCTGCTTGTTGTGGGCAAGCGTTCGTACCTAAAGTTGTGACAAGCTTGCAACTGCCACGCAACTTGACTATGCTGTTTGTCTGCGGCCTTTAGAAGACTACGCATATCATAACATATAGCAGAGTGGCAAGCAGATTCTGGTAATAGTTCAATCCGTGACACTAGCTTCCCAGCTCAGGTATACCAACTGGACAAGGTACTGACCAAGGCATGCGGCCATCCATGACCATCCGTAGGCATTTGTAGCAAAAGCTTTGCAAGCCCGCACGCCCTAGACATACTCTGAGGGATAGACGTGCAGACACGTAGCTCTTGCAGGGATGCAGGGTCTACTACAGGCTTTCACTGCACTGACAAGTGAGCATGATGCGATGCAGCGATGAACTTTTGGCAAATCTGTGCAACAGGCGAAGAGTGCTTGTGACAGGGCTAACATCGCAGACTGCTTCATGCTCAAGCCCGAACAGGCGTGGATCTCATTTACCAGTACTGGATTAAGAGTTCCACAGTCTACTGATCAGCGGTTTTCTCCTGTAGCAGAACTCGAGAAGCCTTGCAGAAAGCCTTGCTGAGATGCTGACATCAGCAGAGAGGGCTACCCGAACTTTCCTCGAGGCCTGGGGCCGCGTGCGAAGATTTTCTCTGTTGTCTTTTATTCCTGTCTCTACTTCATCGGAGCATGATTCCTCCAACTCCAGTGGGACATGCGCTGGCCTTTCACCGGAGTTGTACGCCACAAGCCGCAGAGAGGGGCATCACTAAGTAGCAGCGAATTTCATGACAAAGTCTTCTCTGCTCCCGCTCCTGCTGCTACAAGTACTACTTAGTAGCAGAGGCAGGAGCAGGGAAGACGTTGTCTCAAGTTCGTTATGCAACTGTCAGATACACTTGCTCAGGAAAGGGCTAGGTTCGAGAAGACCGTATGGATATTTACGCGGACTGGTTCAAACAGCCTGGGGATCTGCAGTACCTTAACTGTCTGATCATTTTATGGCTCTTCCGGCTGCGGCAGGCCCTGGATGACAGGATTTTGGAGCGCGAGTCCAGGCCAATGAAGTGCCATGAACTGTGCAGCCGACCTTTTGGGATTGTGATGACTGGACAAGATGTCTTTTCAGTTTGCCTTCCAAATTGGCAGGGGTGGCCCCAGTCGTTTGGAGTCTTTCTTCGGGCCTAAAAACTCTGATGACGAAGTCTCTGCTGGCACCTTCATACAGACGCTTGGACTTGCACTTCATTTGTGCCGGGTCTCACGGTTTCTGGGCATTGACATTCAAGCATGGTGTGGGTGCCTGCGGTGGCGCACCACGTGGGAAGAGAAACACAGGCCTATGACCTAGTGTTTGATCCCAACTAGTATGGGGAGCCTGCATTGTGCGAAGTTTTGCCAAAATTATTGAGCCACCCCCGATTCTTTTGGGGGGCCCTGATTCGTTTGGGGGCAGGCAATCATTCTTGCAAGGCAGAGTCCAGCAGCTGCCTTGAGTCCTCAATCAACAATGTGAATGTCTTGCGGCGGGGGTTGCTGAATTCTCCGAAAATTTTCAGGGCCCCTAGGCATTTCAAAGAGCAAAAGCCTATCATTTGAAAGGTTCGTCAGTTAAAAGCGAACTTTTCAAGATGTGAAGCCTAGGACTTGTGTCAAGTCACTAGGTTTCAGGCCACGTCCAAAACTATCGAATTCTTGTTAGACCGCTTATTCGAGGAGGCCAGACGATCATTTTGCAAAGGGGTTGTCCACTAGATTGAATGCGACTGTTTTGGTGACGGGAGCTGAATATCCGAAATTTCGGGCCCCCGAAGGATGTCCTACCCCACCCTCCACTAGAAGAGGACCCTTTTTTTTGTTTGGAGGACCCCACGCTAATCAGGATTGCACATTGCACATTCCTCCTGAGGCTAGGAAGCTGCATGGGGCTTGCAACATGAGACGCAGAGATCTTGACAAAGAACACATCGGGCTTCATTTTGCATGGCTTGTAGTAACTCGCGCAGCAACACACTGGAGCGCAGGTTTCCACTTTGAGGTTGTTGACCTTCCAATTCTGTTGCTTTTGACCCTTGCTTGTGAACGTATGCGGTCAAGAAGCCTGGCCCGTTGTACTAGCAGCTAGCACTCTTCAACTGCAAACCTGAGGAAAGCGGTCTCCATGGCATTGAGTCCGGAATGCATCCCTGCAGAAAAGGAGCCAAAATTGTGCTGATGACACTGAAGCAGTGGTAGCTGGAGAATCTGCTCTTGATTGTTCTCGGCAGGGACCCAATTCCCTGAGAATTTCTAGGACTTGGCCATGGGCCTTGCACAGCTTGGTGCAAAGACCACAGGAACCATGTCCAGGCTCCGAAGTGATTCAGTCAGCGCCCATCATGCGGTCCTTCTGTGCAGATGATCTGATTCAGTTCACACATGTGATCACATGTGCATACCGCGTCTGCTAAAGTCGAGAGTCATTGTCTATGAGACCCACAGATTGGAGGGGCCCAGTCCACCGACTGCTCGTTTTGAGGCTGTGAAGAGGCCCTGAAAAACAAAGGCTAAACCTTCTCCAGCACTTGCCCTGCCAGGCAGGCAGCGTTCCGAGCACTTGCTCTCGCTAGGGAGCACCGTCGAAGGCAGAGGCTCCAGCTGACAAAGGCCAGCTGATGCCAGCTGCCTGTGCTGCAGAATGAACTTGATGTCCACACCAGGAACTCCGCAAAAGAGAGCACAATGAGTCAATGAGTCCAGAAGGGAGGTCCAACTATGGAACTGCGTCCGCACTGAAAGCAGCGGATGACACCATCTGATTTGCGTCATCGATATCAAAGCTTGAGAACCTGCAAAATCTTTGTTATCCCGACTCTGGCAGCATGTTTGATTTGGGATGCAAGGCTTCATGGCTAGTGGACAGTTGTCTCATTGACACGCGGCCGAAAAGGCTCGCTCCAGCCTTCTCGCGCAGCAAGTGAAGAGGCTGACTGAGAGATGTCAGGGCTGCAGTGTCAGATTTGGTGGGCCAGGGAGTCGGAAGCATGTTTGTTTTTTCCAGGAACAAAGTTTCGTTTATAATGTTTCTACGAGCATGCTCAGAAGATTGCCATTTGCTCCAGTTGAACCTAATGAAGACAATTGTTGTCAAAATGTCCAAATGCAGTGCCTGTGGATACCTCACTAAGATATGCCATATTCTCGTTTCAAGCACAAGGCACAGAAACATGAAAGACTCATCAGTAGCGGTGGTGGTTGTTGTATGAATGATTACAATGACAGGGAATCTCAGCAGCGCAGGAGTACCTGGGTGCCTGAGGGCAGCCGACCAACCAGCGCAGCGCCTCCAGGTCCAGGATTAGGCCCGCTGGAGATGTGTGGGCTTCAAGAGAGTTGGCTTTTGGTTACAGGGGAATCTTTCATTGCCCATTGAAGTACAGGCCTTCAGGCCCTTTTTTCAAAGTAAGAATGATGGAGGATGTTTTTTATCGCGATACCGAGCACAAAAATTACATCTCATGACTTTTTTCAAACTTGGTTACAACGCCCTTCCCTCAACGGCTAAAGAACTTGGCCCTTGCTGCTTCAGGCTTGACGCCTGGTAGCGGCCAGCCGCATACTCGCAAAGGTGCGCGCTTTTTGAAGCGACAGTGAGCGAAAGCTCTTGACGCCTCCAGCAATCCGTAGAAGTTCCCAATGGTAGCATTTTTTTGCAGCTCTTCAGTGCCTTGAGCTGTGCTGCGCTGCTGTGCGTGTTACCCTGCAGCCTTCCGCTGTGCGGCTTTCGTGGAGTGCCTCGTGAAGCTGGCACTGCATCGCCTCGGGGCGAAAGGCAGACCTCCATGTGACTTAATGCTTCGGGTCGCGAAGTGTCGCGAAGGCGTAGTGCTGCAGATATGTGAGAAACTGTGCTTGAAGTCAAACAAGATTTGTGGAAGAGTTTGACAGAGGCACTTTTGGGATGAATGTATCCTGAAGCATGACGCATTTTAGGGGAATCCCGCTTGACCATATTTGAACCCTGCAGGCTCACTAGAACTTCAGCGTGGCGCACCAACATGGTGGAAGTGCACATGGTTGTTGCAACTCGGTCAATCGATGGGTCCATTTTCAGATTCTGGAAGGAGGTTCAGGATTCTACACGAGCTCTTGGCAAGGGCTCTCGAAGTAGGAATTAAGTATATACATATATATATATATGCTGTATGTTTGGGCATGCCTGCCTGGCGCGAATGTGCGAGCAGAAAGCATGGCTTGCTCCATAGCAGGGAGTGGAACCATTCGTACACAATTTTGCAGGGCGGCTGAAAACCCGGGAATATTTTGGATTTCATGAACATGCTTTCCGTGAGTCGCACAGTAGGCAAGCTTCTAAGCCGGCGCTTGTGCTCTGTCAGCAGACGCAAGGAACCACTTGGGGATGCGCTTCGTCGTGCCTTGGCTTCAGGGCTTTGTTGGGCTTTTCGGAACCTTTCAAGCTTGCATTTGGTCTTGCCAGTTCCTGCCTGGCATGAGCGCGAAAAATTCTGCCAAACTGCATCGCTCCAGCATACGGAAGTTGTGCCCTTCTTGAAACGCTGCGGCCTACGTGCCGCGGCAGCTGTCACCCAGCTTCCACAAAGCTGGCTGCTGTGTTTGAAGGAGCGTGTCCGGGACAACCAGCATCAGCGGAATCTGAAGAAGCTGGTGGGAGAGGCCGGAGTAACAAGAAAATGTGTGTCAAGCCTGGTGATAGTCTTGAACTTCAAGGGAAACAGAGTTGACAGATCCTGGAAGAATCTTGGCTATAGAAGGTTCGCGTTCGTCGCCCTCTTTGCACAGGTGTAGCTGCATGCTTTCAGGTTAGGTAGCACAGGGCCATATTACTGTACACAGCTTCCAAGAGCTGAATCTGTGAATGTTCTAGATGAGGTGCCGCAAGGTGAAGTTGAAAGGGTTAATTAACGCTCCTTGACTTGGATTCTTGGCCCTTGCTGCCTCGGGCACACCCACTCTTAAGGTATCCATGTCAGCTGTCTCCGTCAGGAGCATACACCGGACAAGTGGGAGGCATGGACCACATGATTGATAGTGTGTCCCGCATGTATTAAGAAAGTCCATACGGCCGGCACAAGCATTTAGAAGATGTTACGCATTGGATGGCGCCACATGTAGTAAAGATTTGCGAGCACATGCATTGCCTAGTGACGCGAAATTCCAGAAGAGACCGAAAAAATGCATGGACCCTTACGGATCACATCCACGAGTGTCTGCAACAGGAGCTCGACTTTTGGTGGTATCGCATGCACCTCACAAACCGCCCGCGGTACATTAAGTCGCTTGGCCAGCACGTTATGAGTTATGGGCTGGGAGCCAAAGATGCGGGCGATTCTGTTGCACCCCAATCAAAATAAGAATGTGGCAGATAGATGCACCCTATTAATTTATAAAGTGTTCGTTCGGACAGCTGAAGTTGGTTGGAAAGAGCAGCTGCTTACCTTTCAGACGCGGTAACCTTTCTTTACGCTCGCTTTTGCCCGCAGTCCGATGGATCGGCTTGTCCTTTTCCACCCAGACCTTTTCGAGCCCATGAAGGCGGAGGCGCATCTGGTTTTGGAAGCCATATGGGGATTGTCCTAAATTA